AAGGACGCGGTGTTTGCAGGCAAGGGGTCCCCGGGACGAAGGGCGGTGCTCTGTGTAGGAAGTGTCCTCCTACATTTCCTGCCGACTCTGCCAGTTCGGGGGCGGCCTCCTCTAGTTCGGGGACAGCTGTTACCAAGGACGCCGAGCACTCCAAGAAGGCCAGTCAGCCACAGGAGAACCCGCATCCGAAGCCTAAAGCAGCTGGTGACCCTGGGCCGCAGCCTAAGCTCCCGTCAGGCCCTCCCCTGGGTACTTTCCGGGCTACACCGGCGACCCTAGGGGAGCCGCCGTTCCGGTGCACACGGAGGAAAATTTACCTTCGTGGGCGCCCCTCGCAGCAGAAGACGGCCTGCCCTTTAGTACAACGCCGCCAAACTTCTGGGACCTTAGGTCCGCATGCAGGGTAAGATGCCCGCGTTGTCTGGCGCACACCTGCACGCGACGTAACCTGCGAGGATATAGGCGTGCCCATAGCAGGCACCGATGCCCCCCTTGCACAAAAGCCGAAGGCTAGTGGGGCCAGTTAGTTTTGAAGAGGAGGCCCGTCAGAGCTGACAGATTGACCAGTCAGCGACCCTATGTGGCGAGCCCCTAGTCACAGCAAGCCAGTCAGTGACGCCGAGGTTTGACCTCCTTTTTCGCCAAGGCTGGCCCAGTGGAAAAATGAGCCCCGTCAGGGCAGTGCGCCGTTTGCGGTCGCACACGTTCGCGAGTGCCTGTACCTTTCTAGATGGAAGGTCTAAGTGAAGTACAGCCACTCCAGTCAGCTCTCGCCGGTGTGTGGTCTCGCCCCTCTGCTGCTAGTTTCCTTGTAAAGTGTGCAGGCAAGTGTGTGACTGTTAGGGTGTGTGTGTGTGTGTGTGTGTGTGAGAGAGTACTTTTGTAACCTTTGCAGTTACCACCGGTTTGATATTTGAGGAAACCTTACCCGACAGGGTTCTCTGCTTGCTGCGCCTGCCTCGGTAGTTCACAATCCAAACCAATTCTCCCGCCAGCTTAGCCCGACTCAAGCAGCCCTCCTGGTCAGCATACTGTTAGGAGCGCTCGCGTCATGTGGACTGAGTGTGTCAAGTCCGAGAGACACACCTTCTCAAGCCTTACAAAAGTACTGTTGCACAAGAAGCTCGTGCAGTTCCTGCCACAACTCCAGGCAGCTGGCATCCAGTCAGCCTGTGACCTCGAGCGACATCCCAGGTCGTCCCTCCGTGGCATCCTCGGCGACGTGTTGCTCGATGAGTTGTTGGCCTCGGCAGCCCGACCTAGCAAAAAGTCTCGTCAGGACATACCCCAAGTGCTACCTCGGACCCGGGGCTCTTTGCAACGTCTGGGCATTGAACCCTCTCCTGCAGGTAATAACGAGGCGGCCCAGTTAGACTTGGAGGAAGCCGACAGGCTTTTCTTGCGCGACCGATGGGCCGCAACCTCTCAGGCCCCGAGAGAGAGTCGTTGGGTCACATGGACCCGCCTGTCAGATCGCAGAGGTTTTCCCGCCATTCCGGTCTCCCGTCAGTCCCTCTTTTCCGTTGGTGCCCTGCTGAAGGCGGGAGGGTATCGCTCCACCGCACAGTACATTTCAGTGGCCAAGCAGAAGCACAAACAGGCGGGCTTCGTCTGGGGCCCAGACCTCGACGAAGCTCGGGCCCAGGCACTCCGAAGCATCAACAGAGGCCTTGGACCCTCAACCCCCAAGCTAGACCTCCGGTTAGAAAATGCGGGCCCCCGTTTCACGCAGGAGGTCAACGTGGCATTTGATGAGCTCCGAGTCCCGCAGGCAGACAGGATCCGGTTCGCGGCCCAGGCATGCATCACGGCCTGCTGGTTCATGCTTCGGGGGATCGAACTGGCCAACGTGCAGGGCCGGGATATCACATTCAACAGGGCAGCCCGCACGGTCAAGTTGCAACTTCCCGTTCGCAAAACCGACACGGAAGCCAAAGGTTGCTACCGGGTTCACCGGTGCATATGTAACCCAACCCACTCGTCAGAGTGTTCCCAGACGACCCCGCCAGAGCTCTTCGGGACGCTGTTTCAAAAGTGCCTATGCACAGACGGAATGAGCAAACTGTGCGTCTACCACGCCCTTCTTCAGGTAGTTTTGCAGATGCGTCGCGAGCAGAGTTGGCGGCCTGACACTCACCTGTTCGTAGCTCAGTCATCCGAGGTTGCGACGAAAGCCCAGGTAGTGTTCCTGGCTCGCGCCTGTGCCTTTGTTTTGCAACGAGAACAATTAGAGGAGTGGGGCCACGATGCAGTTACCAGGTGGTCCCAGCATGTTTTCCGGGTAGCAGGGGCCCAGCTCTTTGCCCGTTCGTTTTTGGACGTCGCATACATACAGTTGCTGGGCAGATGGGGAGGCGCGTCAGTGCTCCGGTATGTTGAGGCCAGAAAAGGCGTCCGAAGCCGTCAGTTTACATGTTAGTCAGCCTTCTCTCGCCGGTGCCCCGAGGATTGGTAGACGCCCCCCAGGCCAGTGTCCCCAGCTTGCCCAGGTCCAGGATCTCGTTAGGGAAGCAGTCCAGGCCGCCTTGCAAGGGTCACAACTTCTAGTGCACAACACCCGTTCGAAGTTGTGCCACCTCCCTTCCCCCAGCGAACGTCAGTTGCCTAGCGATTCCTGGGTTACTTTGTGTGGGAAGTGGTGGTATGGCACGAGCTCCACTAGGAGGAACCTGTCTCTTATCTCAGGATACACCAAGTGCTCGTTGTGTTTCCCGTCCGAGGAGAGCCTTGACCGCCCGTCAGCATCATCTGTTCAAGCTAAAGAGATAGAGTCGGGCACTGATTCAGACTCCTCTGAGGAGCACAATGCCCCCAACTCTCGCCCTGCCAGATCTCGATGATGTCGCGTCGCGTGCCGGGTTTGACACTGAGATGATCGCTTACCTGTCAGCTAAGGGCATCACCAATGCAGGCCTTTTCTTACACTGCTTCACAGACCAGGCAAAGATCGCCCCGTTCTTCGAACCCTTGCGTGCAGGATTCGACTTGGCAGGCAACACAGTCAAGAGGTCAGATGACGAGAGGCTTATCTTGGAAGCAGCGACCCGGGTAGCCCTCGACGAGCTGTCGGTGCGACGCTCACAGATGCTGGCCGCCTCAACCCCAGTCCCTGCCGCCCTTCCAGGTGCCTCAGTGTCGTCTCCCTCGTCCGAGTCTCACAAAGTCCCTAAGACCCTGCCAAAGAATTACTGGTCCGAGTACGTCAAAGAATTTGAGTCTGTCATCCTGTTAGGGCGGAATCGCGAATTCCCTTCGCATCTCTTGTTAGGTGCTGAGGAAGTGTTAGCAAGAATGGTGCATCAGCACCAAACTTCCAAGCAGTATTCTCCTGTTCGACTGGGAGAAATCATCTCCCTTCGTCATTTCACACCGAGCAAGGCAGCCAACCCGTTCGCGCCTAAGGACGATAGCCGCACCAAGATGATCCTCGACGACTCAGGTACCTTCACCAAGGCCATGCGCCATGTGCCGGAGCCCCAAAAGCTGGTCACCCTGTTAGATGCCGTGGAGGCGATCAAGTGGGCCCTCATGTTCTCCCGTTGGAGTGACGAGCACGATGCCAGTTTGTGGGCTGAGTTTTGGCAGAACTTGTGTAGAGACTACCCCAAAAACTTCCCCCAAATTAGGGCTTTCTTGGATAAAGCGTTCCTTCATGTTAGCCTGCAGATGAGGGCCAACAAGTCCTTCCATGAGGCATCCTCCGAGGTGTTGACGTGGCCCAAGCAAGACGAGCTGAACAGACCAGCCCCGTTCGACAGCTCCGAGCCCAGGAAGGGCAAAGGGGAACAAGGACCCAAAGGAGACTCCAAAGGCTACAAAGGCAAGGCCTTCGACAAAGGCTTTGAGGGTGGTAAGGGCAAGTTCGTCCAACAGCGGCAGTGGCAGTCCGCCCCGTACTGACCCAACATGCCCACAGGACAAGCCCGTCCGCCGTGCAGGCTCTTTGCCCAAGGATTCTGCACGTTTGGGTCAGCGTGCAAATTCTCTCACGGCAACCAGTCAGCCCCTGCCGCCACAGCACTGCCCCCGTTCCTTCATGTCGTCCCACAGGCCCCTTTCCAGGTTGCTACACGGCCATAGGGACAGCGCGGCCAGCTGGAGGGCCCGCCAGTCAGAGCCGACCACTCACGCCAGGGTCCACAGTTTAGCACCGGGCGCCCTCATGCTGACAGCGCCCCGGCAGTTACTAACACAGTATTTGTGCAGGCCCTAACCCTAGTGTGCTGCTCCCTAACCCGTGCAACCCTGCACCCAGCCGGTGTGCAGGCCCTAACCCTAGTGTGCCGGTTCCTACTCGTCAGGTTGTTGCGCCGAACCCGGCATGCACGCCAGTCGACTTTACACACAGTCCGCCAACACTTGCAAAAGCTTCCCCCGATCCAGTTCGGCCTGGACTTGGCCCCTCCTCTCGGGTGACAGTTGCCTCCCCAGATGCTTTCACACAGCCGCCGACAGCGACACCCCACCTTTCTTCTACGGCCCTCCCTGTCCGCCCTTACTCAACTCCGCAGCCCGGCCACTCATCTTACCCAGCTTCCTGTGCAGTGCTCCCGCCCGGTTGAGCACCAGTCCTCAGCAATCCTTTGTGACCCTGGCAGGATCCCGTCAGTCAGCTAGCAGGTGGCTGAAACAAGCGACGGCCCTCGCCGCACTCAGAGGCTCGCGTAACGGCCTCGGAGCCGTTTTCTTTTCCCAGTCAGGGACCAGGCTAGCTTTCCGAACAGAAGTTCCCGTTCGGCTACTCAGCGAAGTGGCCACGACGAAGGCTTTCATCTTTTGGTTGGAGGCCCTAGCCCAGGTCTTGAGTCTCGCCACGGTCTCTTCAAGCCTGTCAGGAGACGTGGTCTGCTTTGTAAACAACAGTGCAAGTGAACATGCACTAAGGAAAGGATACTCGAAAGACGCTGGGCTAACCAACTTGTTAGGTTGGTTCTGGAGTTGGGTCGCAGCTCGCCACCTCAACCTGTTCTTCGTTAGAGTTTCTAGTAAGGCCAACCTGTCAGACGCAGCCTCGAGGGGAGACTGGTCGCCCAGCGACTCGTTAGGGTGCCGTCGGTGCAGCCCCAACTTTGACGCAGCGTGGGACACTCTGAGAAAGCTCACCGAGACCTCCGTGACGCCCGACGCGGCCTTGTTCTACAAGCTGGTCGACCTGTTAGCCCTGCAAACGGCCGCCCAGTGAGCCGCGCGTGTGAGTGGTCGTTCCG